AGGAGCAGGAGAAGACCAAAATGTGGCCTTCCTGTGGAAGGTAGTTAAGAGAAGAGAAGAGAATGTTGAGGCGAACTCACCTCCGGGAGTACGGAAGACCTTGACGTCGCTGAGGGGCGATCGGCCGTAGCGATTGTGTGCAGCCATGCGCAGAAAGTAGGCACGATCGACGTGTAGATTGCGGATGACAAGACGCATGATTCTGGAGTCAACGGAGCGACGTGGCCAACGCGAAAGAGGCGCTCGACGATTCGTCGTGAAGAAGATGGTGTAGGCGAGCAGCGGAGGTGAAGAGGGACGCAGGCGGTATCTGCCGCCTGCCGACGCAGACGACGACGAGGTTTGTGAGGCGGCCGCCGACTCTGCGACAAAGCCGGTCTCGGCCAGACTGGCAGGCGGTATCCACGAGAGGCAGACGGCCGTGGAGAGAGGCAGAGGCTGTGAATTGGCCACCGCCGCCGCAGCTGAAGCTGAATCTGACGACGTCGAAGTGGAAGACGACGAAGCAAGGACATTCCCGGCGGAGGCGAACGAACCGTCGATTGAAGGCAGACGGAAAGCTTCCACGCCAGTTATCATGCTTATGTGGATCAGCAGAGGCGGTGAGTCAGGGACTGAAGTCAGAAGGATTGGAGATTTCGTCACATGTTATCGCGATGGGTGGATGATTAGTGTATGGAAAAGGAAGAAAATTAAAAAGATGAATCAGCACACAATTATAAGAATAGCAGAAATTGATAAATATATTTTTATACATGTGGGTTGACCTCGTTTTCGCAAATTGATCCGGTTGTCCTCTGCCAAAGTAGTTGTCATAATTCCCAGCATCGGACCATGGACTTGACAGATTCTTAGACTTTTCGCCAGCATAGTCAGTCAGTTTTGCTATTCTCAACACCACTTCCAAATACACTCGTCAACGAAACAAGAGAAGTCAATCCCTCGAACGACATTCTGCAGAAACTGTTACAATATCACTCACCTTTCTCTCCTGTCCCATCAATCTACTCTTTATCCTCCGACCCATCACAACTTCTTGCTTTTTTACATTATACTCGTCAAAATGCATGCCCTTTTTTGAAAAATTTAATGTGGTCTCATCACGCCTGCTATTCATCTTGGCCTCACCCTCTCTCTCGATCGGCTAATACGACTCGGACCTCCTATCCGGATCTCGCTCATGGTCTCGTAGATCCATTTCTACACCTTCTGATTCACCCATTTCACTTGCTTCCAGTCCCGGGGCACGTTTTACTCCATGCGCCATTTCTCAAGGTCCTAGAAGCACGTACACTGCCGCCTCACCGAGCAGAGCGCCGAGGCTACGATTGCCA